TCATTTCATTTCATGTCTTAGAGGGTATATACTGAGTACAATATTGTATAACTGTATTAATTCAACTGTAAACCTAAAAATTTACAGCAAATTTTGAATGAGATGCAAATTAGCTCTGGAAATTATTATTGAATGTCAATGCTGTTGTAATGAAATGCTTCTTCTGATTGTGTGGTTATTAAATAAATAATTTTTTTTTAAAAAAGAACAGTGTTGTTAACCACTGAGCCATCTCTCCAGCCCATGGATATTCTTTGAGGCAAGAATTATTTTTAAATTACAATGACTTAAAGAGGTAAAAGTAAAAAAATAAAGGCAAAGTCAGAAATTGATAATTGAGGCTTTATATCTAGAAAAATTAGCCCAATAATTTTTAGAACTGGTAGATTTTGAGGATAATCACTAAGGCCCTAAGATGGGATGTGGTAATACAGTTCTGACCTCCAACTTCTTGAAAACAAGTATACTGTCTTACAAGCTTCTAAAACGTTCAAAGTGTTTTCAGATCTAAGATTCATTGCTATTTTTTTTTGTCATCCAGGTGACAATAGCATACATATTGGGCAACTGAAGAACATTATGGAAGGCTGTAAATAGCAGACTCTCATAGAAAAGATGCCTGGACACTGAAGAAAGAAATAGTAGCAAGTCATTGCTTTTGCCTAGAGCTAATCCTACTCACATGGCTCTTTTCTTGTGAGTGGTGATTATCTCCAGAAATGGTAAGTTTTTGGATGAATACATCTGCCCTGCCATCAGAAAAGAGTTGAACAACACAGCCTCAGGTGAAATATAGCCTCCAGATGTCCACATCAGTGGCTCCCTATTTTGAGTCAACTACCCCATTAGCAGATGACAAGTTATTTTACTTAGGATTGCTATTGCATTGTATCACATACAAGACTATGCTTGGAATCTAATGCGTCAGAGATACTGTGCAAAAATTCAGGGTGTGTTGGAGAAATACAAACTGGAGACATGATGGAAGATGAAGAGAAGGGATAACAATGGTATTGTATGGAATTGTCTTCCCCTGGCAAGCTAGACTGACAAGCAGTGGACAGATGTCTTCTCAAGCTGGGATTCACCCACTTGCTCTGATCACCAAAAAAGAACTTTCTGTAGGAAGGGAGGGGCAGAGAGAGTGTTCAGGGGTCTGAGGAATTCCCCAAATTGACCACTCGGATACTGAGTCTCAGTAAACAGAAGCGCTTTATTGAGGCCAACTGGCTGGGGACACAGAGTCTCAGGAGCTGTACTATGACCCCGAGCAGTGAAAATGCAGGGCTTTTAAACAGAAAAACCACAAAAACCACAAAGCAGAGATGCCCGTAGAAACTATACACAGAATAACCAAGAAAGGATTGGAACAATCTAGGGCTGATTTCCAGAGACTTTACCTATACAGCCGTTTACTGTCTTACCTGGAGCAGAACATTCTTTCTCTTCTGCCCCAGATTAATCCCATAGAAACCATACACAAATGTATCAAGTATACTGCCATTGGCTAGCTTACCTGGGGCAGAATGTTCTATTTCTTCTGCCTCAGACCATTTCCATAGAAATCATAAACAGATACCAGGAAAGGGTTTGAACAATGAAGGGAATTTCCAGAGTCAGGTGGAGGGCAGCTTTTTCTCAGAGGATTGGGAGGGGGGTCTGAGGGGCACTCTCTTTCAAGAGTCAGTCATGCCTTCTAGTGGCACATGGGGCAGGGAGGGACTAAAGATAGGGACAGGGGAAGTGAGAGAGAAGGGGTGGACTTCGCTGTCTTGGGCAGCTGCTGGAAGGTCACAGGGTCCCTGCTACAATGTAGAGGGGAGCCCACTGTGCACATACTTCTGTAAGTAACCCATTCAACCCATTGTTCTGTATGGAAGTCTTTAGTTCTCCAAACTGTAGTTTGGAGAAATTATACCTTGTTTTGTCATAAGGACAGAAGTAATTTTAACAACAGATGGTAAAGATTAGTGTTATATATCAATTAGACCTTATAATATTTGTATATTAAGGAGGGGTGAAGGGTGAGGGAAAAGGGAGGAGTAGAATGAACAAAAACAAATTTTGTTTGAAGAGGCCTTAATGAAACCTAATAATGTATATGCTAATAAATAAATAAAAACAAAAGATATAATGATAAACTATCAGGGATGTACAGCTTAAGTGGTTAAAAAATGGCCCTTGCAACAAAAGGGAAAACCCACAGACAAGAAGTCTGGAATTAATTGCCTTGAGAAAATATTGGGAAAGAAAAGCAATCCAAAGTCCTTGTCTACGGGAAGGGCACTAGAAAGAGAAAAAGATGGGAAGAAATGAAGGCATTCTGAAGGTCCTCCGTCCATGGTTGAGAGACAAGGCAGTGGAGGCTTCTTAGTTGAACAAAGAGCTGTTACTTTGTCATCAAACCATAGCAGAACACACCTGCCTGATTCTGATACCCTTAGTACAGATGGAGTCAAGTAGAACTTCCAAAGTGTCAAGGAGAAAAATGGGGTGAATAGCAACATTATCAAGTCAGCAAAACTAGAAACAATGGAAAAATGCAAGAAATAATAGTAACATAAGTAAGTGTAAAATAAGAAGAAATATTGTATGTGCTTTAGGAGAGAAGATTGCTTAGTAACAGAATATTGCTGTCATAAATACATGTACACCCACACTACAAAAGAATTTTGTGGTAGACTTGGCAAACACTATCTGAAAATGTCAGAAATTCTGAAAAACAATTAGGAAAACTTGAACTTCTAGGTGTCAAGGGATGCACCAAAGCACAGAGTTGGAACAAATGCTTCTGACTCTTCTTTAGCACAGTAGGGTAGCTTCTGTAAGATTGTGAGGCATTACTTTTTAAATTAAATTTGTTTTTAGGCAATTTTGCACATGCATGTAATGTATGCCAACTACTTTTACTCCCCACCTTTTTATCACTTGTCAACCCTCTCCTTACAAATCTCTCTCTCTCTTTTCTTCTCTCTCTCTTCTCTCTTTCTTTTATTCTCTCTCTCTGTGTGCACACACGCATGTGTGTGTGTGTGTGTGTGTGTGTGTGTGTGTGTCTTTGCCATGATGGTATTGAATTTAGGGCCTTGTGAAAGAATCTGTGAAATATTTAAAAATAACTAGAGTTGTATAAAATTCCCAACATTTAGAAAGATTAATAATTGAAGAAATCAAGTCCTTATTAGCCTGATTGAGTTATTAATTGCACACCAAGAAAATAAAGAAAACTGCCAGGTGTGGTGGCACAATGAGATTGAGGCCAGTCTCTTCTACATAGTGAGTTCTAGGCCAGCCATGGTTACAGGGAGACCCTGCCTCAAAAAGACCAAAAAGAAAAGAAAAAAAAAACTTATGAATTAATTTTATGAAAACAAGCTATTTGTAAATTACTGACTAGCTTTGGAAGGTTCATGTGCAAATACCAGATATGAAAGAGATCTGATTCTGATTTAGTGATAGGTTTGGCTCTTATGACCAACTAGAACTATTTTCTTTTGAGTCTCACTGCTCCATTAAAACCACCCTGAAGATCTCAAAAATGTGGCATTATCATTCTGGCATTTATACGAATGTAAGGGAAGATGAGGAGAAAGTTCCTTTTTCAGTAAAGGCTGAATTGATAGTCAGGTGTGATAATTGCCTCAGCGGTTTCGCCTGAGTTTCCCCTTAATGTTTCTAAACCTAAATAGGACCTGCAGGTTTCAAGAGAATGGAAAGGAAAGATAATGCTCACTGAGCATTGTTCTGTGTCATTTTTTCTTTTTCTTTTTTTCCCCCACAGGATCTCCCTAGACCCAGCTTGCCTGGAAGTCATTATGTGGACCAGGCTGGCCTCTATCTTGCAGAGATCTGCCTGTCTCTGCCTCCAGAGGGCTAGGATTAGCAGCACGTGCCACCACGCCTGTTGTATGTGCCACTTCTTTTAATCATTGCAATAACTATGGAGTAGATATTTCAAGTGAGGAAACAGATTCTGGCAAGGCTAAGCAGTCTCCTTTCTCTTGCATCAAGTAAGCAATGGCATAGTTATATGAAAGTGATACATTTAAACTTTTATTTAAGTATAGCATACTTAGAAGCTCATAAATTACAAACGCTTTGTTCCATTTTCACAAGGTAAACACACCCTGTGAAGTTAGCTTCTAAATCAAAATCTGCGAAACCACCCTACATGCATCCCAACTCTTCTACCACTAGAGTAACTGGGATTACATTAGTTTTGACTGCATTTGAGCTTTATTCAAATAGAATCATAAGGCTCATTTCATGTCTAGATTCTTTCCTGGTGTTGTAGTTGAGCAGTTGATTAATATTGTTATAAGTAATTGAGTTTGCTTAGTCTCATTACTGTGTACTCTCTCATTGTGTTACTGGACCAGTTTGCACATCCGTTCTATTTGTTAATGAACATTTGGATAGTTTTCAATTTTTAACCATTGTGAATGATACCATTATGAGCATTCTTTTATGTGCATGTCTTTTAATAAAAAAAAATGTGAGTATAATTCTCATATCATGAGCTCTTGGATCCTTGATATTCTTTTTTACTTACAATTTTCCAAAACAGCTATACAAATACACACACTCACACAGAACAAGGAATTCTCAATTGCCCCATCCATGTGAACAAAGGCAGATTTTGAAATCAGGTTTCCTACCCTAGTGAATATCCAGTGCTCTTTACCTTTTACCTAGATTTTATGTAAGAGTGAGAACTTGATAATGATTTTCTTTTATAAATTCCATGATTCTTTCTAAGATTTTAATTCTTTGTTCATTAAAGGAGTTTTCTTTTTCTTTTTCTTTTTTCTCTTTTTTGAGAAAGGGTCTCCTTGTAGCCCCAGCTGTCCTGGAACTCACTATGTAGAGCAGGCTGGCCTCGAACTCACAAAGATCTGCCTGCCTCTGCCTCCCAAGAGCTGGGATTAAAGGTGTACGCCACCACTCCCGGCAGTTTTCTTTTTTATACTGGAAAATATATTTGTGCTGAAAAGAACTTAGCAGAGTTAGTAGTGTATCAGAGGCCTTGTGCAAATATTCATCTTCACTGAATCCAGCCTCTTCTATTTTTTCCGCATGGGTGAAAAGAACAGCAGTGTAATTCTTCCAAGCATCTCCCAGAACTTCCTAAAATGGAGAAAAAGTCAAATGACTATTTGCCTTGGAATCTATTCCTCAAAAATGAACAAAGAAGTTATTAAAGTCCAGTGTAGTTAGCCAACAGAACCATGTGTCATGATATTTCTGAAAGCCGATATATGTAATGGGAAGTGGATATGAGCTCAAGTGTTGTTAGCACATTGAGGAAGATGGATAGGCTTTTTTTTGAAAAAAAAAAGACCTTAGTTCTTTATTTTCTTTTGCTGTTGTAATGGATGTGCACAACCTCAATACTACATATCATCTGGTTATGCTGGATGTGGTGAAGCTAACAGTAATCATTTATACTTACTTTACAACTTGACCCTGTTAGAGTCACTAAATTCCTTTAATTCATAGGCCCCTGACCAAGGGAATTGCTACATCTTTTTTTTTTTTTTTAGGACGTCATGTTAATCACATATTTAATCACTAAAATATCTACTAAGGGATTAAAATGACATAATCTGGTTACAGTCTATTGATTAATCAGATGACATGTAATGGAAAGCTAAGATCAAAATGCATTTGCTGATTTGGAACAGCTACACAAGATTAATATAATCCTTTTCCTCTTTGTGCCACATGTCTACAATCAAACACAATTTATCAAGTGGCTTCTTCTAATGTGGCTGAAAAGCAGCGAAGAGTTATGCCTTTATTTAGTAATATGTGCAAGTTGGTTATGTAATAAATTCTTGTTTGATTAGTGAAAATTAGTTGATATAAAGCAGAAGTAATGGCATGTGGTATGTTACTTATGCAACACAAAATGCATCTAGGAGTAACCATCTCACTGTTGGATGTTTCCAAAGTTTTATGAAATCATGACCAATGACAGTAAAATAACATTCTCTCCCTCCTATGCATAGCCATGAATGAAATATTCAAAGGTGTTACCAGTTTATAATACATTTAAAAAACATATAAAATGCCTAAAAATAAACAGCAAATGATGTTTTTTCAGTAGTATGAAAAAAGCAAAATGATAACTAACAATTAGCGCCAGATGTTATGTTAAGCATTTAAATGCCGTCTCTTACCTACCCTTTACCCCTTACCTTCCCCCTCCCTCATTTCATCTTAGTTTGGTTAGACTGGTGTTTTGGAGACAGGTTCTTACTTTGTCACCCAAGCTGGCCACAACCTCAAAATTCTCCTGCCTTAGGCTCCACATTGCTGGGATTATAGGTGTGAACCATCATGTTTGGCTATGCACTAACTTTTTTGACACTCAACATGAACCTTTGTCATAAATAGTATTATTATTCCCATTGAAATGGGAATGGAGAGATGGGGAATTTAAATTACGTATTAATAACATTTTTACTGAAAAAGAAAGTCTGGGAAGCTATTTTTCAATGTCTATAACAAATGTGTGCTTAGTATTTATGGTATTTTAAAACAGAAGGAAAGAAGAAGGGAAGGAAGGAGAGGAAGGGAGGGAGGGAAGGAGAGAGAAAAGGAATCAGGATATGTAAATTTAATATGAAAATGCTCATGAGAACTACAGGACAGAGTATTTTAAATTGGAAATATTTAGGGTCATCAAACCAATATAAGTCCTGAGGAAAATTTGCCTTTAATCAGAGCCATTTATTTGTACATACATTTCTAAAACTTAGCAGTGACATCTTTGAAGGCAAGTTCTGTGTCTGTGTTGTCATTCAAACTCTCAAAAAATATCTATTGGATATATTTGGAATTTAGAATGGCTTCAGTGTCTCATAGAAGGGTTAGGGTTCTTGTTTGTTTTGCTTTGTTTCTGAGGGTTCAGTTCTGACATCTAATCTTTGGGAATCAATATTGGGAATCAATTAGCATTCCTCAGCTCATTGCAGTAGATTTCCTAGAGGCTCCATATTCTCTGTTTCAGAGTTACTCTCTTTAGGAATAAGTTCCACTGTTTCCTATTCTCTAATCCAACCTTATCTACCTGCATCATGGAATAATAGAATATTTCTATTTTTCCTTGAATATTCTTTTTCAAGAAAATATGACCTGAAATTTAAGATCGGTACATTAGAGAGCACATTTTAAGAGAAAAATTCTCAATTTTCCATTAGGATTTTTCGAAGAAGTGCTTCAGTTAGCATATTCTTATATGCTTTTAAAAATCCAAATTCACAGCCAGGCATAGTGGCACATGCCTTTAGTCCTAGCGGGAGGCAGAGGCAGGTGAATCTCTGTGAGATCAAGGCCAGCCTGGTCTACATAGTGAGTTCCAGGCCAGCTACAGCGAGACCCTGTTTCAAAAAAAAGAAAAAGTAAAAAAAGAAAAGAAAGAAAGCAATAAAGAAAGAACAGAAAAAGTCCAAATTCATTTGAAAACTTTAATTAGCCCAACTTTGAAAGAGTATATCTCTTATTTAAAGCTAGCTCCTGGTCCAAAATGACACAGGAAAATTTGAACAAGGACATAAGTACAAATAGAAGGTCGTGTGATCCTGAAAATCATTATCTATAAGCCAAGAGAGGACCTGGAACACATCTTTTGCTCATAGTCCTCAAGAAGAAACTGACCTTGCCAATTCCTTGATTTCAGACTTCCAGCCTCAGAAGCTAAGAGACAACAAATTATTTGTGCAACCCAGATTGTGTTATTTTGTTACTAAGGAATTAACATGGGCATGTAAGAAGACTCAGTGGGTAAAAGTGCTGCCAGCTCAAGCCTGATGACCTGAGTCAGAGACCTAGAACCTACATGAAAGCTGACTCCCAAAGGTCATCCACACACATGCCGTGGCCCCTGTGTGCCCACATTTACACACACACTCATAATAATAATAGTAATAAATACAAATAAAAAATAAAAAATAATTAATATAATGCATGAATGGGGATTATATAATATTGGGATTTAATTTCCATTCATGTACGGCTATTGATTGCTGATTGCTTTTAAAAATTATTCTTTTTGATGTGTATGAGTGTATTGCCTGCATGTGTGTAAGTGCACCCTTGTTGTGCAATGCCTGAAGAGGCTAGAACTAGGCATTGGATCCCATGGAACTGGAGTTATGGCTGCTGGTTAGACACCATGTAGGTGCTAGGAGTCGAGCATGGGTCCTCTGCAAGAGCAGCCAGTTCTTTTAACTGGTAAGCCATCTCTCCAGCCCTGACTGCTGATTACTTTTATCTCGGAAAATTTCTCACATTTAGAGCTCAGCACACCATTCCTGTGTCATACCATTTGTCATATTATTAAAATGTTTATGTATACTTTAGTAAATAACTGGTGCTCCTCTTACAGTAGTCAGAAAGGTGTTAAGAGGAACTTCTGGTCAAGAGAATAAAAATCTCTGGCCTGGGCAGAGACATAACCTTCCAGTTGAGTCAGGTCATTTATCTGGCCGGGGGACTACACCTAGGAAGCTTGGATTCACCTTAGGCCACGCTAATGAGATAGGTGAAATAACTAGGGCTTTAATGAGATGGTGACCCTTTCCTGCCCAAATTCCCTTTCCAGCTTATCAGACCATAGTCTGCCTGCTTTTCTCAGAAAAGCATGATCTCTCTCTCTCTCTCCCTCTCTCTCTCCCCCCCCCTCTCTCTCTCTCTCTCTCTCCGTCTCTGTCTTTTTGAAACAGGGTTTCCCTGTAGCCCCAGCTGGCCTGGAACTGGCTATGTAGACCAGACCAGGCCAGGCTGGCCTTGAACTCACAGAGGTCTGCTTCTCTCTGCTTCCAGAGTGCTGGGATTAAAAGTGTGCAGCACCACATCTGGCTTCTTCTGTCTCTTTTCTATACTTTCTCTGACACTTTGGGCTTCCCCAATATTTTAGGTTTTCTTGCTCTTTCTTTAGAGCACCTCCCGCCCCCATGTAGCTGCTAGTCTGCCATGTGTCTGAACTGCATGCTGCCTTATAATGGTGTGACCTTTTTTTCTTCTCTCCTCCATTCTTTTCCAGGCAGCTGTTAAGATTTATAGCTTGCCTGCCCTGAGGATTTTCTTTTAAACTCTAATAACATTATCCTTAAGTTTCTATTTGAATCTGTTCTTTAATTCTTTTATTAGTGAGACTAAGAACCTCAAGAACAGACCCAGATCTCCCTTGCATCAACTGGCAACCACAAAGGGACACCAAAATTCCAGTAACATTCTTAGCACCATCAAACCCACCCACTTGAGAACTATTGGCTGGTGCCTAGACTATACTTGCCATTAAATGTTTCTGAACTATCATCACAGTAAAAGTGCATGCTAAAAATACAGTTTTGTACAATATCCTTTTTGGTATAGTTTTCTCAGTATTCTTTCAGTTCCTGGTTTTCTGTGTTGTAACAATATGCTTCGCCTTTTCTTCCCATCAGACAGTTCCTATATTTCAAAATTATCTCATTCAGGATAAATGAGTGGGAGCACTAAGCTCATGCCTCTTACAAGTCCATGTGTTCAGCCACTGGGAAGTTTTTATGGGGTGATAATTATTTATGAAAGGATGCCTATCTCCTAAACTGTGAGAGAAATTGCACTTTTGAATTACTGCCAAGACCAGAAAAAAATGTTGATTTACTTTATAATCTTTAGATTGATTTTTGGCCAAAAAAATAGTGGAACATCTGAAAGTAGTGTCGCTTGGTGATAGTCATCATGTCGGTAGCCAAACATGTTCTCTGTGGACCCAGGGAAGGATGATGTGGATGCAAAGGCTGCAATCATGCTAGTTTAGTTTCAGGGTGCTAATGGATATGTATCCCTCTAGTCCTCTGGGGACAGTTAGTTAGGATATAAACTTTGTTTTCCAGGAGTTGTTCCTTTTCTCAGGACATCACCAGCCCTGCCCCATTTGTTTGTGGTTGATGAAATCATAGCATCTGGACTTTTTAAGGGGAAACTTTAGAAAAAAGCCAACTATTACATCAGCTGAGAAAAAAGTTATCATTGAACAGAAGGATAATAAGGACAAATTATACATGTATGATATATATGTACAATTATATGTTATAATTGATATGATGTACATATATTATATGTATAATATATAATACATGTATATCATAGATATGTATGCTTTATGCTTTTCCCTTGCTCTCATTCCACTGTAAAATGCCATAATTTTCCCTTGGAGACAGCCAAAGCTGAATGTTAAGATCTTATTAGGTCAGATTCAGGGAATACTCAATAACTCAATATTAGAAAGCATCTATCCTAACGGCCTCATTGTACAGATAAGAGTATTGAGGTCTTTCAACATTGAATGGCTTGGCCAAAGTCATATGGAGGATTATTGACAGGCCTGAGCCTTTAAGAACGTTTCCCTGACTGTCAGAAGTAAGGGCAAACAGTAAAGTAACAATGACCACAGCTAACATTTGTTGTGCACTTGTACCAGTGTCTCAGTTAAAAAATTTACTACTGTTAGGCTAATAAGGCCATTCAAAACAAAAGCAATTAAGTAAATACTTTCATTGCTTGCTATTACCAATGGAGTTTAGGGAAGTCACTTACCCAATGTCACAGGGAAAGCACATAGCAGAGTAGAGACCTGAACACAGGTAAACTTACTCAGAAGGCACATTTTTTACCTCTGTCATCTGCAGCCATATCTTTGGTTCATTGAATGAATGCTCATCTCAGCGTGGGAAAGCAACAGTCATCACAGAACTGCTTTCTACTCTCAGTAGGTCAGTAGGCTCAGAGTTCAGATTGCCAAATTTACTAAAACTAGCACTTAACATTGATAACTCTTTAACACTGATAAACTTATCCTCATTTTGTGGCTGAGAATCTGAAACCAAGAAAGGCTTGATAATATTAGGCTTATGTTAAAGTAAAATTCTAACAACTAAGCAAGTCTATGAGCTTTGTTTAGCATATTCAGGCCCTGTATTGACCTTTGGGTACCTTTTGTGTAAGCATTCACATGCAACATAGCTGAGTTCTCAATTTTGAAACAAAAAATACATTCTTGAAGCTTGCTTGTAGATAGTAACAATACAGTCTATGGCTATACAAAAGAATACAGACTCTAGTCAGTTCATAGGTTCAGTTCCTAGGGCAACTTGGCCCTGTGCTGGCTCTTCTTTTGGAGAGGACTATATTATATCTTCTCTGATATGTTTTTGGGTTTTTCTTTTTACCATTCAAATAAAATTTTGCTGACATTCACATGAGTCATTTCTTTTCTTTCCCATTTTGGAGGAGATGACTCACTGACATCTTCACCATTCTGCTGTAAATTAATAAAGACCTAATAAAGATCATTTGGGGCAAATGTTTTAATCATTATATCTGGCAGCCTATAACCCCTCTGCAGATTATTAGAAGCACAAATCAGGAGACATCAGAGAGACACAGGAAAGATGAGGCTAGCCCTTCATGCTAGGCATCAGCCCTCCCCCACTACCCAGAGGGTAAATGAAAGTGGAAAGGACAGATACTCCATTCTCCTTGTTTGTCAGCCAAGAAGCAAAAGAAATCTGGAATATGCCTGGAACCCTTAAACAGCTGCTGTTAGTCCTGATGAATACTGAGACATCTAGCAGCTGTTCCTGATCCAGGAGCATGCACAGCTGGTTGCCTTGAGTATCTGAGGTACCTTCAGGAAGAAAGTCATAAACCACCAGTCTGTGCCTTAGAGACCATCAACCAAAAATTAAGAAGGGCTTCAAACAGGTCTGTGATGCTTTCCCATGCTCCTGAACCACTCTGATAATTGCTAAGTCTTGCCTCTTGATATTTCAGAGGAAAGGGAAATTATTTATTCTAGAAAAAATATTCTAACGCTGAGCTTTGCTCTCACCCATCTCTTGTTGGTCTTCAACTCCTCAGTTAGACACTGATTTAAGGAAGGCAGCTGTTAGAGAAACCTATACCAGATACTGTTTTAAAGATAAGAGTTTGAAATATTTTGTATAAAAATAGGAGATTATAATATTTTTCTATATACTAACACTAGAAAAATCTATTTTCTAGTGTATAATGTTGAATCGTTTTGGGGATCAGCATAATGCATCATAGGAAAAAATAGAACAGAGAGAGAGAGAAAGAGAGAGAGCTTTTGAAAACTAGTTGTTTGCAAACTTACTAAATTTATCTAATAACAACCTTAAGTTAAAATTTAATCTTTTTTTAAAAGTATACCGACGTAATGGGTGCAAGTTTCTCACCACTTGATTTCTATCAGAAACACATTGAAATGCAGGCTTTAATAGGTTGGGGGCGGTTTATGGGGTTGTCTTAGATCCACATTGCATCTTAACTGTAATTTTTTCTTACTGTCATATAACATCAAGTCAGTGTTTCAGCTCAGCAGTTTTGAACCCCACCTAGTTTAAGAAATCTATAAAAAGTCATGCAAACATAGACAACACAGCCTTACTCTTGAAATGCTGTTTCAACAAGTCATGGGAAAAAAATCTGCATTTTTAACAAGCTGCCAGCTTATCACATTGTATAAGGTTATTCAAGTTTAAGGTTCTTGAGGATTTGAGACGTAACTTCTGAAGCTTAGTATCTAATTTTCCCCCATGACCTATTTAAAGAATTCCTGATAGAAAATCAAGTGACTTTTACATTGCAACTGCCATATGCCAAAAAATTTGAGGTCGAATTATCTTTTAACCAGCTTTTCCCATGAGGATTATGCCTGCCTTTGAGATGGAAATAATGGCACCAGTATAATTTCATCTTTGTATTACCTGGAGCAACTGGACTGGGTCAGATGCTTGTCTGTCTGCAAGAAGGCACATCAGCTCTCTGGATGAGCAGAGCAAGATGAAGACCCTCTTGTCTGAAGTGATGTGCCAGGGCCTTCTTGACCTCCTGTTTCACATGTCTCATGCTCAGCCTGCTATGTGGATATGTGGGGGTGTCTAAAACCTGGACCTGAAGGGCTATCTCTTGTTCACCTTGATGCATGAAGTTGTGGAGGTAGCAACTGTGGCCCAGGCTACAGTCTTTGGTTACAGAGCATGGATCAAAGCTGCTGTAGAAGTCAGTACTTCCCAAAAGAATATTCCCAGCAGAACTTTTTCCATTGTGAGTACTGCCAAAGACAGCCATATTGATGATCATCTTGTTGACATTTGTCATGGCTATGAGTAAGCAAAGGTATAGTACAAAAATTTAGGTGTCTGCATTCACTGAGCGTAAAGTTTTTTGCCTGGCTTGGGGCACTCTATGCATACAGGTGGACCTTCATGTCTCTTCGGGGATGGCAACATAACTTGCATGCTTTTTTTAAAAAAATGCTTCATGTCTCTTCGGGGATGGCAACATAACTTGCATGCTTTTTTTAAAAAAGTGATTTATTTAATAACCATATAATTAGAAGAAGCATTTAATTACAACAGCGTTGACATATTCAATAACAATTTCCAGAGCTAAGATGCATCTCTTTCAAAATTGGCTGTAATTTTTAGGTTCACAGTTGAATTAAAACAGTTATACAATATTGAACTCAGTATAAACCCTGTACAACATAAAATTGAATGAGTTTTTACCCTTTAAAGAAGATCTCCATTTCATTTTAAGATACGCTGTTTCTTACATTCTTCCGATCTGAGAATGGATATAAAGTCATCAGGTAGATTTCAATGATAATGTTTTTCACATCTACTAATAATTAAGGAGCAAATTTTTATGCTTTGAAGAGTTATTATTATTATTATACCTACTTCCCAGGTAGCACTCT